GAAGGCAGTTGGGTGATGCTCCAGCTCGGTCTGAAGGTGGACACTGGACGTGTCTGCCCTGGGGCCTCCTGGGATGGGCCCTACAGCAGGCCAAGTTCAGCAGCAGCTTGTGCCCTGCTAGGGGCCACCTGGCATGAGCCACAAAGCCATTTGCAGATGACCACCACCTGTGCTTGGCTTAGTGTTGTCTGGGGGATGCAAAGCCTTGAATGAAGGTCAGTTGCCACCAATGCCATGGTTGGGACTGTTCAGCAAGGGGTACCGAGCATGCTGAAGCCAGGTGCTGCTTGTTTGGGATTTGTGAACCTCTGAGAGATTTTAGGAACATCTGCAGCTTGAGCCAAGTTAGGCTGCTTATATGAAAAAGCCACTGGAAGTGACTTGGATGGGTCCAAAAGTTGGGTAGGGTGGGGTCTCAGGGAATCACCAGGGCGAGGCAAAAGGTGTTAGTTAGCCAGGTTGATGGAGACTCAGATATGGTGCCCACCTGCGTGTGCACGCTGGCAATGGGGAGGGTCCAACAAAGGAACTATGGCTTTTGCCAACACTTCTGTCTGGGAGAAAGCTGTCCCTTCAGCTCTCATCCCAAAGCCAGATCATTCAGTTCCTCCCCACATGTCCCTGGTGCCTTTCAAGCTGGTGCCCAGCACTGGAGCTTAGAGTGAGTGAGTCTGTTAGCAAATAAGTCCATCCATGGACCCTTTAAGAAGAATGCCTGGGACCTTAGCCACCCTCCATCTCACCCAGCCACAATCCCCACTAGTTTTCACAGCCAGAAGCTATGGGGACTTCTCTTCTCAGCACTAGAACCCTGGGCTGGGGAGCCTGGTGTGGGGCTGAGATCCCTCACTCCTTGGTGAGGATTTCCACAGCCAAGATATCCCTCACTATTTTTCACTGCTGCACGTGAGTGTGGGAGCAGCCTTTTCCATATCTCTGTCCCTCCTACCAGTCTCAAGGTGCCTTCTTCTGTATGTCCTTTGTTATAGAACTTTTGTTCAGCTAGACTTCAGGTGATTCTCAATGATGGTTGTTCTGTAGTTTAGTTGTAATCTTGATATTTTTGTGAGAGGAGGTAAGCACCGCATTTATTTACTCTGCCATCCTGAATGGAAATTCTCCAGCTCTATTTCTTGAAAAGACTACCTTTCCCCCAATGAATTGTCTTTGATGTTTGCCAAAAGTTAATTAACCACATATGTAT